CCTCCCTCCCTCCCCTCTCCCTCTCCCTCCCCCTCTCCCTCTCCCTCTCCCTCCCCCTCTCCCTCTCCCTCCCCCTCTCCCTCTCCCTCCCCCTCTCCCTCCCCCTCCCCTCCCCGTCCCCCTCCCCCGCCCTTTCGCCCTCCCACCCTTTCCCCCGCCCTTTCCCTCTCCCTCTCCCTCTCCCTCTCCCTCTCCCTCTCCCTCTCCCTCTCCCTCTCCGTCTCCGTCTCCGTCTCCGTCTCCGTCTCCGTCTCCGTCTCCCTCCCTCACATACTGCGGAATCGTCCCCTTCGAACCAAACCTCTCCGTTCTATGTTCGCGCCCGCACGAACGCCGAGCCCAGCTGAAAACTGAGCCAATGGCGGCGGTAGAGGGACTGCTGCAGCACCAGATGGGTGTGCACCACGTGGGGCTCCAAGACCCCGGGCGACTGCTCGGATTCCTGGGCCTCGTGTCACCGTGTACGCTCGGAACACCCGTCACGGTTTAGGGGCCCTATGGCCAGTTGAGGGAATCGCCTTGAAAGAATGCCTGCTCAAAGCCACAGGGGAGCTACCAGTGTCACATTGAAACACACCCGTGGGCAATGAAACCACTGACAGGTCAACCTGGTCTATGAACACGAAGCTGCACCTAGGGAATGTGAAGAACTCTATGCCACTGCAATGAAAAGTGGTTCTTGGCTCAAGTTGCACCCGCTCTTTGTGCCATAGCCCAGCTCTGAGTCATTGACACGCTGCGACCGCTTCACAGAGGTCCTTGAGGTCCTTGAGCCCTGGCATCATGGAAGGAGAGGCATCATGGAAGGAGAGGGGCTCTCTACTTGCATGGCATCCATGGCACCCATCGCTGAGGTTAGGTGCAGAAGGGGCAGCCTTCCATCTCAACGTGATCAACCGTAATTGTGTCGGACCAAGGTATGCAGGAGCAGGGTCTGAAAAACGATTTGCTGCGCTATGTTTGCGAAACCTTCAGTTCAAGGGTAGCACAAACACAGCCTTTGGCCAAGCAAAGCCTTGTTGCAAGTCTTGAAGGTACATCTTTTCGGCTGTGTCCGGTGCGCTTTGTTCTGGCCCAGAGCTTTGCAAAATGGAGCCCGGCGTCTTACCAATTGCCGGACCCAACGACAGCTGGTGAGCACGATGATCAAGGCGGCAAATCATGCAAACCGTACTGGTGGCTGCCGGTCAGCAGCGAAATCAAGAGAAACATAAGCTTCTGATGGGCCCCCACCGCAAGCAAGATTAACACATCTGCTCCAAAGATCAAACTGGCCGTGTGAACATCAGGGTCGTGACCAATGTGCTCTTAGCAAAACTGTTTTTGTAAATGTGTCGGTGTGTCTGTTTTCCTGCCACATTAGAAAAGTACATGAGTGCCTACTGGTATTAGTGTAATGGTCCACCATCCAAGCTGTGCAACGCTCATCAAACTGATCCTGCTCAAAAGTAGAGCTGGGTCCTTCAAAGTGACGTCCTCAAAACTATCCTCTAAATGGCCTTGAGACTAAAAACCATGCACAACAGTTTGCTTGATCTGAACCCCAAGGGAGCCAGTAGAAAGTACGGCGCGACAGGCGACCGTTGCATCGATCCTTGGAGCGAGTGGAGCGTGTGGACTTCCTCTTCTCGATGGGGGGCAACGTCAGGGCTGGCAAGCGTAGCACATCGATTCGAAAGCCTTGCATACAGGGCCCCCGTGTTTTCCAATTCAAAGCTAGGCACCAGCAGAAGTAAACTCATGGCGACCAATAAGTGCTGATTCAAAATCGCCGCGCAGGAAAAGTATGGACCTGAGGGGAACGCAAGCGTCTTGAGCGCCCTTGAAACATATTTTTGACGGATGTTGCACAGGGGGGAAAAAACGAGAAACATGCCGACCAGCGCTGCTGCGTGCCATTGCGAAATACCATCCGCACATCTCTCAGCCAAACCGTGACACAACATGTCTCCACACACCACTATTGCTCATCTAACTAGCGCAACCTGCATATTGCATTCCTTGTAAAAGAGGGGGTTCTGAGGTCCTGCGGGCCGCAGGAAAGACACCCTACAAATACTGTCGATTAAAACATCCGGAGCCTACTCTCAAGTGGTCTACATATCTCGGCGATCCCTCCGGACCCAAGCTGTGAAGCTTGCAAGGTACGCCATCTCCACTTCGGCCGCCACTGATTGACCTTGGCCGAGGAGAAGAATTTCATGGCCCATTGCTCCAAATCAATGCTGAACTACTTGTTTGCCTTCTGGGCAACCTAAACCTTCTGGCACACATTACAGCCGCACGCCAGCCAAGTGCAGCGCGCAAGAGATGCACGTCGAAGCGAGGACATAACAGCGCCTAGTTTGCCTGACGTGGCGGGTGATACAACAAACAAAGTGCCCTGTGTGGGAACTCTTCATAGGATGCACTTGACGTCGCCAAGGCTCCTAAGAAAAGCCTCCCAGTCTTGCTCGGGATAACCATCACAATTGGCTTTCACAGGTGAAGTGAAGGTCGCACCAAAACATCCCAAAAGCAGCCACGCATTCTCACAACGGTGGCGCTTCAATAAGGAAAGGAAAGCCTTGTCAAGCCTGCAACATGGGCCAAAGCTGGCTCCAGTGGCCTTGGGCAGTTGGGCTACTGATGTCCTGCTTCTTGTCCTTGTCATCCTTGCCGCCTCTGAGCCTGCCACATGCTCTGATGGCACCACAGCAAACTCGGCACACTGTTTCCAGCAAGTGCACGTGCCCAACTCTCATTCGGTATCTTCTGCCTGTGATTTCCCACAACTGAACGCCAATATGGCGCCTCCTTCTAGCTGCGCTGAAAAGGCTCTCTCCGCCTGATGCTGCGGGCAGTGAGGTAAGCACGTCATCGACAAGGGAAGTCGGCAAGGACTAGTGACTGAGTAGTGGATGGGATTCGAATGAGGCTTTGAAGCATGGACGTCAGGCAGCTGCCTGCGGCTTGCTACAACACTTGGCAAGTGGCCACGGTCTGTGCTTGTGGCCCCGATGGCTTCATCCAGAAGGAAGTTATTCACACTTGGGTTCCCTGTATTCGGACCTAGTGTCAATGGCAGCCCTGGCAACTGCTACATGCAACCGAATCACCCTTCCAGGCGCCCAGCGCCTCTGCTAAAGGCAACCGTCTAAGGAGTTAGGGGGGAACCAGCTGGTCGCAAGTCGCACAGCTGGAAGTTTCCGCTGACATCGGCCTGGGCTATTGTCCTTCTCCTTGTCACTGTCATCTTTGTCCGCGCCCTTAAGCCTTGCTCGCGCTCTGAGTTCCGCAGACTGACTGGCACCCGAACACACAAAGGCAACTGAGTCGTTCCACATGCGCCCTACACTATTCTTTATCTCCACCTTAACAGGTGGATCGAAGTGTTTGACTCTGACCGCGTATTGCCACATGAGCCACCAATCTGACACAAGGTCATGGCCGCTAGATTCAATGCGTGGATGCGCCTGTGACCTTGGCAACCGTATGTTGGCACCCGCCTGCCAAAAGATGCTGCGCGCAGTGATGCGAGCATGCCATGACCTGTGCAAGCGAGGGCGACGCAATTTGGCCATCCTGACTGCATACCCTGAATTGGACCCTGAAGGGCAACGCAAAAAGCGGCCGGAGCTGGCCTAGGTTGCGGAGCTGCTCGAGCAACCCCGGGTCTTTGACTGATATTTCCCCGACTCTGGATGACTCTGGCTTGCCATCCAGCTGATTTGTCGAGCTCGGGTTCAGCGAGGCGACACCCCGTTTTCAGACACAAGGCTGGCCTGGCCGCGCACGGCACCTCCGACAAAAGCAGCGGCAGGAAGTGGCCCTGGGCCTTTCTATGTTGCAACCCCTTGGTGTCACATAGTGTGGAAAAATTGGCTGTCTCGGCAAACGTGCCAATAACATGTGAGACTGAGCCAAACATCGCGGCGTGCATGCTTTGAGGCTCTTCAGACACACCTGTAAACATTGGGCCATCTCGCTGGGCCAACTGGTGCATTTCCCAACAAGTTAAAGCCTAAAGATCCAACCCAATAGCAGTAAAGTTTTTTTGTTGGTGCCCCGTGAACACGATTCAAAAGAGGTCAGTAATTTTTGGGACATCCCTTCAAGGTGCCAAGGCAGCCGCAGAGGTGACAGCAAGATTAGCCCCAAGCCTCCTTTAGATTCTCGGGTCAACATAATGCGCACGAAACGGGCCGCAGAAAGACCAGGGGGTCAACACCGCTTTATCCGCGCATGATTCCATCCACGCGCCTTCACACATAGCACAGCCACCCTACTCACAACCAAAATGTCTGGGTGAACCATCGCTATTGACACGAGATCTAGCGCCCTGCCCGCTTGGTCTTTATGGGGAACGGCCTGGAACAGAAATTGATCCTTGGGTGGAGTGGCCAAACGCAACTCATACTTTTTTGTTCACTGCGTATATGATCCCCGAAAGGGGGAACGTCTCACCGAATAAATGTGAAACGGCTAAAAGGGTGCCACTAAACAACCGGGAAAACATGTCCAACCCAGAACCCCAAAAGGTCAATGTGCAAATGAATCAACATTCTACAGGCAAGTGCATGGCTTCAAAGACCAATGACCCTTGCCATAGAAATCCAGCCCAAGCCTCGCCACGCGGTCTTCTCATGCTAAAACGGATGCCTCATCCAAGCCACCTGTTTCAAGATATTCAAACTTGTTGCTAAACACCATCTCAATCAAACATGAACCTTTGGGCTTCCAACGAGCCTGTGCAGCCGTTCGATCCGTATGCCCAGCCCTTCGGCCCAAACAGGGAACTTGAGAACCGTTTCAAGCCCTCATGAGGGGCCTTTCTAGCAGCAGAATTGTGATGTGTTTGCTTTTTTCAATGGCTCCAAACATGTCTGAACAGGGCCAGGCTTGGTCTTTTGCCAAAGAGCTGCAAGGGAAAATGGGGAAACCCATAAAGGCCAAGAAAACAAACAAGTTAGGAAAAATCTGGCAATGCGAACACAGGTCCCAACCCTTTACGCGCTTTTCCCGGCTTTCCCGCTGCCAGTTTCCTCTAGATCAGTGGGCACTGAGGGCCTCCATCAGGGCCTCAAGGAGCCTCAGGACAGTTCTGGAGGTGTCCAAACCAAACGGAGGAAACATATGACCAGCAAGCCAGCCCGCAGCCAAAAGGAACAACAGAACAACAACACTGCACCACCAACCCTCCCCCCCGGCCCTTCTCCCCACATTCAGCCAACCAATCAAAAACAACAACACCAACAGGCAAACCAAGCCACGTCAGCACCCTCAGGTATGCCCGTTTTTTTCGGGGGTCGCCAGCAACTCAAACCCTCCCAACCGGCCGGCGCTGAGTTCGGGTCCCCGCCGACTCGCAGCGCGCGGTGTCCAGCAGCTCCCAGGCGGCGAGGTCCAAGGCCTGGGACCTGGAGACGTGGCGCTCCGCGCGGCGCTCCGCGCGGGCTCCGGTTGGCGAAGCCCAGCACCCTATGAACTGGGGGGGTCAACCTGGGGGTTCTCAAAATGGTGGACCCCCTTTTAGTTGGTGCTTAAAGGACAACCAAAACTAGGTCCTCCAGTAGTTTGAGGTTAAAACAAGTTGGTACCCGATGTTGTTTTTCTGTTTTGTCTATTTTGGGGAACCCTCCCACGCAAAAAAGGGGAGAGAAGGGCACTACTGGGGGACCTAGCCTATGGCCCCTATGGCTCCTTTTCGTGGCTTTCATGTGAGGCAAACCAAGAAAACATAGAAAACCACAGCCCCCTTTGTGGGTTCCGGGTGAGGGGAGCCATCATTTTCCTGGCCCCCCTCCCACGATTTTTGTGAGGCAAACCGAGGAAAATGATAGAAAACCACACATCCACACACTGCAGAATGCAAAAGGATATTTTCCGAGTCCCCCTCCTTTGTGTGGGGTTGTGCAACTTTTTGAGGCTCAGATACCTTTCACCTTGGTTGAAAGGGGAGCCCTAAAGAAAACAAGCAATTTGTGGGACCCCTAGCTTGCCACATACCCAGTTGCACTGGGACCTGGGCAAAAAACACGACTACCCTGGCTCTTGGTCGAACACAACTGGCTTCTTAAAAAAGGAACCATGTTCCAACAACGTGCGGGATCGGGACAAAGACCTCCCTCGGCGTTCACGAGCAGTACAGTACATGTTGGCCCTTTCAGGTCTCCCTCAACTCAAAAGCTTCAACGCGCTGTGAAGAACGAGAACTAAGATTTGTGAAGGACTTTTGCCAGTAAATCTTTCTCCCCAATGCCCAATCCAACAGCTTTCACCAGGACTTTTGGATTGGGTGCACGGAGGTGCTCGGGACTGCGCAGCCTGTGGGGCTGAATTCGCTTGATGTCTGCATGCCTCTGACGACTTGACCACTTCAAGGAAATTGTCTGGGTATCACAGGAAGTGGCTCAAATACCACAACCATAAGTAGACCACAAGCTCGAAAACCAAACCACATCATAACAAACACCATAGGCTGCAAAAACATTACCCACAAAAAACAAAAAACAACTCAAGCAGTCTAGGAACTAAACCCCCCACAAGGCTCCCCAAAATGGCCAGGAGCCTCGTGCTCCCGGCGTTTCAATCCGAGGCCGCCGCTTGTCGTAGAGGCGAGTGATGCTGTCGGGCGTGACTTCCAGGCCGTGGCCCACGAGGCAAAGCACGGCGTTGCGGATGCGCGAGATCCGCTCCCTCCTGAGCTGGTCAAAGGTGACTCAAATGCCCAGTGATTTCTCCATGGGAAAAAAAGGCTTCTTTTTTGGTTGGTTGACCTCAGATCCCCTGCTAAAAGTTTAACTTTTAGCGGGTTAAATGGATCTCCCCACTAAACCCTAAAAAGCTAAAAAGCTAAGGGGATGGCTGGGAGCCACCGAGTAAAGGGGGAATGAATGCAACCGTTAAAGAACATCCTAACAAGGCTTGTAAGGAGCCTTAGGAAAGTTATAATGAATGCAGCTGTTTCTCTTTTGCCAAACTCAGAATCCCAAGCGAGGGGCTGAAGGGTCCAGTTCCATGCCTGGCACACCTGCGAGGGACCTGCTGGGACGCATCGGGAGGACTAATAAGCGACCAAGGGCAAGGAAGATGTCAATGTGGCTTTGAAACAACTTACGACTAGAAATGCCACAGCCAAGCACAACATCCAACCCTATGATGGCTTCGCCCAAGGATGCCAACCCCTATCACAGCACACAAGTGCCAGCCGCCACAACACCCCCTGCCAGTGAGTTTTCTATGGTTTGTCTGTGGGCCCCGTTTCGTTGTGCTCCGAAGCGAACGCCGCTTTTGCCAGCATGAGGCCAAACAGCCATGCAAATTCTACATCAATAGGCGTGCTATCTACATAAAGTCGTAGTGAACGCACACCCACCCACATAACGATTGAAAGCAGCAAACACACATGTCAGAAATGGGGCACGACCCCACGATGAGACCTTTTCTCATCACCCACAACCAGAAACATGGAACCTGTGAGGGTCAAGATTCCAGCTCGAAAAGCATGCTGTCCATTTCCGCACCAACAGGCAACCTCCTAGCGTCCTCCAACATTGGCACGCGCAACTAACACCAATATGGAACCGTCTTTGTAGTCCCCTTCCAACAGTCCTTTCCCTGGGCGTTCTGGGAAAGCTACGCTGGCAGAGCTTCAATACCAATCGATTTGCTTCACTGGCCTGGGTTGAGGGGTACACCAAATGTTCGAGGGGCTCTAACTAGTAGCATGGACCGAAAGCAAAACTCTATAAAGCACACTAACGTTCCATGTTCACACTACAGAACAAAAGAGATAAGCATGAATGCCGCAGCTTTGCAGAGCGGAATTTCCAACATCTGCAAATGGTTTGACCCCAGTCACCAAGCGTCATATCTTGATGTACCTTCTGGTATCGCACATCCATCTGAGAGAAGTTGATGGTTTCTTGACGTCCTGAGCCTGCCACCCGCGGTGGCGCACACACCCAGACCCATCCGTTGTTGCCCAAGATCACCATGATGCCAACGGGCAATGTGACCAGATGCTGTGCCTGGCGCCGCACGTAGACCGAGGGCACGCAGGCCAGCACCCCGTTTTGGAGCTTCCCATAGCGGGAGTTCCGGGTTTGCAGTGCGAGCTCGCCGGACTCGTGGACCTTCTGCACCTCTGCTGAGATGAGATCATTCTCATCGAAGAACTCCCGCATCCTCAGCGTGTCTTCGTCCGTCCTGCGCCGCTGGACGTTCCCCGGCAGCCTTACTTGCTCAAAGGCCATGGCCACCCGGCAACCTTCCGACATGGCCGCAATGGGCAGCGTAAACCCTTGAATGATGGGTCTAAAGGTCCCAATCCCCACTAAAATCCCGACTAAAATGGGTGGTGCACCTCCCCCCCAAAAAATGGGTACCATTGGTTTTGACCCACAGCCAAATAACTAGCGAAATGGGGGGGTCGACAAAACTGGCACACCGGGCCGGGTGGCTGGATGGCGCCGAGGTGAAGGTACGCCAGCTGCGCTGTGCCGATCTCCACTGCCCAGCGGTCCGCCTGGACTTCCACGATGCGGCCGACCACCACCTGTGTGGAAGTCCCATAGAAAATTGGCGATGGTCCTGGGAAGTATACCTTGTGACATCACATCGTTGCCATCCCTGTGACTATATAATTTGCAATTTTAAAGGGAATCCCCATACATATATATATATATACGGCCACTTAATTTGTTCACCCCCGAAGATCACTTCCCCGACTGACAAAGAGCTTGCCACTGAGCTGGGCCACGTCTCCCACGCTGCCAGCGTAGCGGTGCTTCAGAGGCCTCCCCGAAACCAATCCGAAACGAGGGATGGGAGACGCGCAAATGCTTGGCATGGCGTAACCAAATCACTCGGTTAGCCCTTCTGAGAAGAACCACGCCGGCCCACACAGTCACACACACAAAGTCAAGTAACACCTCCTGAAACTCAATATTTGGCCTGATCTTCCTTATTGAAAGAAACCTTCGTGCTGCACCTTCTGTCAGCCTCCATGTTTGCTGCTGAAAGGCAAGTGCCCTTGCTGCTGTCTCTTTTGTCCGGTCTGCCAGCCCAGCAACTATCTTTTGACAGAACTAACAAAAACACATCAAGGCTGCCGACGGTGGCATGCGCTGCCTGACGTAAAGGAGCTTGTTCACCTGAGCGAGCACTCCAAAATACAAAGCGAGGCGCATCTGTGCTCTCCACACAGGCAGGACACGAGGCAACAACAGGGAAACAACGAAAACAACAACTAACACTTGACAATTCAAAGCTAAAACAAGTCCTGTCAGAACACAGGCTTCGTGCCTACCAGCTATAACGGCAATACTCGGGACATTCTGGCATGAAGGTATGATCAGTTGAAGTTCATGCTCGTACAGCTTCGTTGGCCCTTCAGCAACCTGAAAAAGCACATGTCACGCGTAGCTTGGCCCCCCTCCCTTGGGCAGCTGGCATGACTACCGAGAAAACAAGTAATCATCAACAATCGACCGACCGCGTGCGCAAGCAATGATTGGAAACTGGGGGCATAACATACCACAGGTTCTTCTCAATGTGGTAGCATACCTAAATATACATAGACGCATTACCGTCTTGGGGAACGACAAAGTGCGACAAAGTACGGGGGTCATCCTAATAAGGGTTTTACCCAGCTTTAATAGCAGGGAAGGGGTAGCCAACCATGGTAATTCGCTTTGCGATCCTCAAAGCAAATCACACACACACACAGGTTGACCTTAGTTGCAATCTGCTGGCTGAAAAACGTTCAGGCTACTTCAGTCACTACCGATCCCCGACATGTGGTTTATGCCAGAAAAGGGCGGTCGCCCAGGTCCACTGTTCAGCCTTTTGCACAAAGGAACGACTCAGGGGGGAGTCCTTAGTTCCACGCAACTCACTCCAAATGGAACTCGGACCCCCCCCCCCGCCCCCAATGCCATTTCTACAGAGTTGAGTGTGATTTCTTCTTGAAATACCATCAATTTCCTCACTGACTTCGAAAGAGGAGCCACAGAAGTTGGACACACATCACCATTTGGGCGGTCCGGGATCCCCCCCCCCCCCCTGCAATTTGGACGCTCCCACCTGCCCGGGCTCCGTTTTCCGCCCGCTCCCGTCCGAGGCACGTGCTCCACCACCCCGCAGGTGGTGGCCACCAGCTTCCCGTCCCCGCGCTCCACCACCCCGCGGCCGCGCAAGGCGCCCGGCTCTGCGGAGACCACCTCGGGCCCCAAGGCTGCTCCAAATTGGCTCGCGTTGGCCAATCCTAATCTCACTTGCTGTGTGGATGGCCCAAAAGAAAGTCCAAACTTTAGATTTACAAATTTTGGTCAACTCTAACAGCTAAAATTGTCTTCCCAAAAAGTTTAAAGTTCATGAACTCAAGCGAGTCATCCAATTTTGCTTTCTTGGACACAAAAGAGACCCGAGTCCGACGCTGGCATTCAGGTGGCACGACGCCTCCAGCGAGGGCTTTAGCATAAGGGGGGGGTGTGGCGGAGGGCCTCACCTTTCCAATGCCGAACCACTTTGCCAATGGAAAGCCGAATTTGGGAACCGCGGAAGCTGCGGCAAGTGCGATGCCAATCTTGAGCACCGAGCCAGACTTCAACCCATGGATGGTTGATTTCCTCAGAGGGAATCAGAGCCCCCCGGGTATAAGTCTACCTTGAAGGGCCTATCACGATGGGCAAAATACTATTCACAAACTGAGGATTTGACCACTATTTGAAGGGACCGTATATTTCCAAAGCCCTTTATGAACCCTTTTTGGTGCTCCCGTTTTACATTTCTGGGCTCCCTTGGGATGAGCTGAGCTGCGTCCCCTGGACACACCAGCTGCGACTGCAGACCCGGGATGGGCTGCACCAGCTTGGAGCCCGCCCTTCCCTCCAAGCTGCCCTCCTCACGAGTAGCTTGAATCTATGTTTCGGACACCTTGGTTTGTGTTCACCCCTCTGCACAAAGTGTTTAACTTTTTTACGGGGCCAATGGACATCTATAAAGATACCTTTTGCAGGGCAGGATTTGGTTGCAAAGGAAGCGCTGAGATAGTGATCGCAGGCCCCCTCTCTACTTGTAGGACAAACATAGCCCGTATGGAGCACCTACATGCCATCCTATAGCTATTGACAACTGTAAATATGTTTATCGGTCTATCTCTCTCTCTCTCTTTCTCCCTTTTTTGTTCTCCTTTGTCTTTCTTCTCTCTCTCTATCTCCTTCTCCTTATAGATTTCGATATTGTCTTGCTTTCTGTCCTTGCTTCCTTCCTTCCTGTATTGTTTGTTGTATGTCTTCTTCTGTTCTGTCCTTGTCTTGCCCTTCCTTTCCTTCCTTTCCTTCCTTTCCTTCCTTTCCTTCCTTTCCTTCCTTTCCTTCCTTTCCTTCCTTTCCTTCCTTTCCTTCCTTTCTTTCCTCCTTTCCTTCTTTCCTTCTTTCCTTCTTTCCTTCCTTCCTTCCTCCCTCCCTCCCTCCTTCCTGCCTTCCTTCCTTCCTTTGATTCTTGCTTACTGTATGTCTCTGTCTCTCTCTCTCTCTCTCTGTTTCTCTTTCTCTCTCTCTCTCTCTCTCTCTCTCTCTTTTCCGTCTCTGTTTCACTTGCAATTCTCTTGGGCCTTGCTATGCAACTTAACGTCTGCACAATCCCACGCTGATTGCACCAAAGCTATGGGGCAATAGCTCATTACTTGTCACTCTGGAGTTTACGGTTGCCCTCCCTGCGATTCACTGACATTTTGAATTGCAGCTGCCTTTCAATCCCGATATGCTACTATTGGTGTTGTGAACCATGAAGCATCTAGAAGTGTCTCGCCTTACCTTCCTCATGCTGAACCCGGGATGTGAATCGTTTTGAAAAGCCGTGCCAGGCTGCCCAGGGTCAACAGCGGACTGTTGATAACGATATCTAAACACAATCGGGAAGTTACCGTTCAAAAATGCGTGCCACCATTGTTGAACAATGATAGCACATTGATTTACACACAAGAGGTCATCGAAAGCTAGCGTCAGAAAGCTTGATAGAACCCTTCGCATAGTGGTCCAGTAGGCCAAAACATGCCTCAACCCAGAGATCGTGCGAGGGCAAATATGCAGGCGACCTTTGATCAGCTTGAACAAATTGTCTAGTGTGCTTTTGAGACCAAAGGAACCTATCAAATTGTCTTCCCACTTTAGCAGCACACATGGGGCAAAAGGGGCAACGCATCCTTCATCACCTTCATCACCAAGCACCAGGTTAAAAAAACAAAAAAAACAAAAAAAACTGCCAAAGGGGATCAAGTGGCGAGAGAAGCTGGCACAGTTCCCCAACTCACCCCCTTTCTTTACCCACATCCCAGAATTCCGGCGTCCACTTCCTGATTTGATGGGCCAAAAACAGGTACCACCACTTTCCGCTTGCCATAGAAACGGTCGTCCAACCCCAAGAAGTCTAAAGTCCATGAGCTCCGGAAGTGAGCCTTCAATCTTTTTTTGCCCCAACAGGGGGTTCCCCGTTTTGGCCGCCGTCCTTATCCTCCCTGCGGCCCTGCAGCGCCACGGAGCCCGCCAGCTGCGCCACTTGCGAGGCCCAGGCCATGCACCCGACGGCAACTCTTCGCGCGCGCGCGCGAAGCACGTGCGGCCGAAGGAACCCCAAAGTTTAGTTCAAGGCCCCGAAGTCTGAGGGCCAACATGGTCCTTTTGGGTCCGATTCTGAGATCCAGATGCGGCGAACCTTTGAAGTGTGATGTCAAAACAGATCCCGAAAAGAAATGAACAGAGCTGCTGCCAGAACTTGTGGCCGAGGAGTGGAAAACAGAACAAATGGCTTGGAAGGATTGGATCTGGTTATAAATGTGTTCCTGCCCGATCAGGGTACTGCGTCCTGCAAGATAACCCACCTCGAATGATAACTGCTTGTGTATGATCGAGCGATTTGTCTCAAGACCGTCACCCGAATGTTTCACTGGCCGTCCGGAGCTGTATCTGAGCCAAAACCAGCAGCCAAAAAAACATGGATTGTTCTCTTGGCCTGGTTGCTCTCGAGCTTCAAAGCGACCAAAGACGGGAGACACCAGGACCAGAGGAGGCCTTGTTCAAGTGCGGGTTGCTCGAATGCTTTGGCTGGGCAAGATTGCTTTTGTTGCCGAGACGGCGCATGTCAGCTACCTCGCGATGATGACGGGCATGCTCAGAGGGGTCGGCTACTAATTTCAAGATACTTGGTTCCTCAAGTGTCGCTGGCGGGCGCATTCTTTCCGCAAGCTCACAGGCCTTTCGGGGCCTGACTGGGCGACTTCGGGCCGCCGAGACGGAAGTGAGACATCCCGCATTTGCGGGAGGACTTCCGGCTTCGGAAAAGCCAGTTGCCAGATGGGCCGTGGCCCAATAGCAACTTCATCGTCTGGGCCGACTTTGCAGCTGTGAGACAATCTGAATGGAACAGGCCATGGAACATCTGCACAAGCAACCGGAACCAGAAAAAAGTCCGTAGTGCTCAATTGCCACCTCCGGAAACCTACGCTTTTGCAGCAAGGAAGGCACATGAACAATGAAAGCTTCAAGACGCAAACGAAAACCGACACCAACATGCATCACCACCGGCCGCTTTTTTTTCGCGCCTTGGCCTCAAAGCCCCGTTTTTGCCGGCTCACTCATTAGGGATCGCCAGACGTACTGGCCTTGGCTCGCCGAGCCTGCTACTTCTGTCCAATAGGCCTTGGTGCTGTCCCCCAGATCTACGAACACAGTGCTGCAGGTGAAAACCAACAAGGGACACCGGTTGCTCCTGAACAACTTGGTCATGCTTTCGGGCCTATGTCCCACCATGTCCCACCCTTGCAACACATGCATTAACAACATTTGGCAACCGCCAATCGGCGCCAAAACATCCGAGCCGGCTGCAGGAACATGCAGACACAGCATGCAGCTGCCTTCTCCCCATTCGAGGTGGAATGGGCTTTCTCCTTCATCACTGGAATCCTACTGCTTGTCCATGTGAAGCGCTTCCTGAAAAAAACAACAACAACTCAATACTGGGATCACCATTTTACCGGTGCCTGAGTGGTTTTTGCTTCTTGCCAAGGAGGGAAAGGACCCCAACACCACCATTGATAAGCGTTAATGGTAAAAACACAAACCCAGGAATAAGTCCGTGAGAAATCACACCACATCATCTGCGAGTAGCTGCGAGCAAGATCCAACGTATGCCGTTTGCCGTACAGTTATGCACAATTAAACCGAACCATTCTTTCTCCCCGTCTCTGTCCCGCACTCTCTCTGGATCTCTCTCTCTCTCTCTCTTGCTCTCTTTCTCGCTCTCTCTCTCGCTCTTTCTCTTCATATTCAGTCTGCCCCATCCGCAAAAATAAAAGCAACGAAACACGTTCTTAAGGAAAAACCCCCGACAGCATCATCTAATCCTCCAGGAACCGCCCAGAATCTGAAAATGTGCTTGGGAAAAGCACTGGGAGCGAGGAACACCAAACGGGGTGTCGTGGCGTTTTCTGGTATCAGCACCGGAACTGCGAAATCGATGTTTGATCATCTTTGGATCCCCAAGTGACAGCACACACACAAAACAAACAAAACAATCAAAACAAACAAAACCACAAACACACAAACACACAAACACAACCACAGACACAACACACAAACACAAACACAAACACAGACACAGACACAGACACAAACACCAAACACAAACACAAACACAAACACAAACACAAACACAAACACAAACACAAACACAAACACAAACACAAACACAAACACAAACACAAACACAAACACAAACACACACACACACCCACACACACACACACACCCACACACACGCACACACACCACACCACACACGCACACGCACACGCACACGCACACGCACACGCACACGCACACGCACACGCACACGCACACGCACACGCACACGCACACGCACAAGCACACGCACACGCACACGCACACGCACACGCACACGCACACGCACACGCACACGCACACGCACACGCACACGCACACGCACACGCACACGCACACGCACACGCACACGCACACGCACACGCACACGCACACGCACACGCACACGCACACGCACACGCACACGCACACGCACACGCACACGCACACGCACACACACACACACCCACGCACACGCAAGCACACAATCAATCAATCAATCAATCAATCAATCAATCAATCCATCAATGAATCAATCCATCAATCAATCAAACAATCAATCGATCGATCGATCAATCAATCAAATCAAATCAATCAATCCATCAATCAATCCAGCAATCCATCAATCAATCAATCAATCAATCAATCAATCAATCAATCAATCAATCAATCAATCAAATCAAATCAATCAAATCAATGAATCAATCAAAACAAACAAACAAACACATAAAACAAACAGACAAACAATCAAACAAACAAACAAAAAAACAAACAAACAAACACACAAACAAACTGACAGAAACACACAAACACACACACAATAACAAAAACAACAACAACACAAAGACACCTGCACAAACAAACCAGCACGAACAAAACACACACACAAACACAAACAAAGACACACAAACCCACACACACAATGACACAAACACACAACCACACAAACACACCTGCACAAACAAACAAGCACAAACACCACACACACACAATGACACAAACACACAAACACACAAACACACCTGCACAAACAAACAAGCACGAACACCACACACACACACACACACGCAAACAAACAAAGACACGCAAACCCACACACACAGAACATGACACACACACACACAAACACAAACAAGTACGAACAGCACATACACAAGCACAAACACACACACAAACACAAAACACAAACACAACGCATGATGTCTTCAGTCGGCTTACTGGGGCCCATCACCGCCAGTCAAATTTCCAAACCTCCGACTCCGAATCTAAGCCAGGCACTCACGATTTTCGAAGGTGACGCGAGTGCCCGCAGCCCCCTTTGGGGGCGTACGAGCGCCTGGGCGTTTGGGGCAGGGCGCCTGCAAGGGACAAAGGTGGTGCTCCGAACTTCGTTGGACTCAGTTGCATCCAGCGGCAATTGCGAATTTGTTGCGCGGGTTTGCTTGCCGCTTTAGTGGGCTGGGGAACCGACGCAAAAACAAGGAAGCTGCGTCGAAAGATCTCCCTTGCCTTGTCATTGAGTTCAAACATGTTGATGTTTTTGAAATTTGGGCGAGGAGAACCACGGCAAAACCAAGATGCGATTACTTTAAACAAATCAGGGCCCCCCAATATATAATGAAGTGCAGGGGGACACTACCCGTTCACCAATATATGGGATAACTACAAAAGTAACGTTGATCGCTCGCTTCCTTCGAGGTTGGAGAATGCTGCCTGTCGCTGGCACGACCAAACAGCCGCCCTCGCTGGCACGCTATGCCAATGGGTGCACTGGTGCATCTCGCCAGTTGCGCCAGTTGAAGCTCCAAAATGCATTTCGGCATTTGCTTCTTTGGGCGCCAACCTCTTGAGCACTCAATGTCAACTTAAACGAAATGAGGCCAGCGGGCTCCAAATGTATGTTTGAGCGGTCGGATCGCGCTTCCTGAGGTGTCATGCAGCCATTTTGCACACACGGAATACAAATGGGTCCTGTGAATTTAGCGGGCGTGGTTGGAACAGCCATTCCATGGTACAAAAGCTGGTTTGGGATAAATCTTCTGCACAGTGACCAAGTTTGGAGACCACATTATCCACAAAATGTTCAACGGGTCGATTGTTGTTGTTGTTGTTGTTGTTGTTGTTGTTGTTGTTGTTGTTGTTGTTGTTGTGGTTGTGGTTGTGGTTGTGGTTGTGGTTGTGGTTGTGGTTGTGGTTGTGGTTGTGGTTGTGGTTGTGGTTGTGGTTGTGGTTGTGGTTGTGTTGTGTTGTTGTTGTTGTTGTTGTTGTTGTTGTTGTTGTTGTTGTTGTTGTTGTTGTTGTTGTTGTTGTTGTTGTTGTTGTTGTTGGTGGTGGTGGTGGTGGTGGTGGTGGTGGTGGTGGTGGTGTTGTTATCCACGTAGCCTCTACAAAATGCGTGCGGGAAATCCAAAGCAGGGTGAAAATGGTGGTATGCATTCCTTGGTTTCCCTGCCCTCAAAGACGCCCAATTAGGACAGGCAAAGCACCCAAGCGCCGAGCATGCGATGGCTCCCATGACCTTGTTCCAGAAGCTTTCCGTCTCCGGCGCCGACCTTAGTCCGTTCGCGTAATGACTGGGATTTTTTGACAGGGAGCCACGTGCAATGTGGTTGGTGGACATGCATCCCCACGTAAACGATGTCCACCAAAGGGTTCTTACAGCACTGCCCGCATCTCTCAGTCCTCCGCTCCCCGTCCGCGGTTGCCTGCGGAGGTCCATTGCTTTACCCTCTGGAACTGAAAGGCCCAAACCAAAACGAGTTCTTTCAACACCATGTCCGTGCACCAGCAGAACCAGTGTGGACCAATTGATCGGTCCAGAGGCTATGCCAACCTGGACCAGTTGCCTTTATCGCCTC